AAAAAAAAAAAAAAAGATCGAGATGTTAGGTGGTCATTTGGGGTTGGAGAAGGTCTCTTGGAGAGATTGTCCCCACCAAACCAAAGATGGTTGTAAGTGTGAGCTCACCATTCAAGCAGTTTTTGAGATACCATTATGTTTAGTTACAGGAGATACGCTGGTAAACCACATAAACATAGCCCTTGTCCTCCAGAATCTTTTGTTGCACAAAAGGAAAGTGCAGGATATTTGGGATTATATAATTGGCAGTAGTAATCTACTTTGCAGGGTCTGGGAAGAGATATTGTAGGCTGAGACTTGAAGAAAAACTTTGGTAAGAGAGTATAGAATGTGAAGGCCTCAGGGAGAGAGAACACATGGCTTATTGGAGAAACTGAGAAACCTGTATACCAGTATAGTGAAGAGAACAAGCTGGAGCAGAATAGTCTAGTGGGGAAGTTCAAGACCCCTCCCTGTAAGCCATATTAAGGAGTTTAAACCTAATGCTAAAAGCAGTAATATGCCATTGAAGGGATTTAAAGCGGGTCTCAGGAAGTGATCAGACGTGCATTTGAAAGTTCTGGCTGATTTTGAAACCTGGAGGGACAAGATTGTTTTGGGAGAGCCTGTTGGGAGTTTGTTGACTTTAGAGCTGCCAGTAGCTCCTTCACTTTTACCCTAAGCTTAGCCTTGTATGATCTTGGTATTCTGGGAACTGGGCTGTTTGGGGATTGAAGGGTGGCTGATGTCAGGTAAGGGGTGGGTGTTTTTGAATGGAGGTACAGATGAATAGTTTGTCAAGATGGCATCATCTCAAGGTTTCAGTTCAGTGGTCAGGGCTCTGGTGGGCAGGTGGCGGGCAAGTAGAGATGCATCCTTTTTGCTCATCCAGGAGTTTGCTGAGCCAGGTGCTATTCAGTTGCTGGTTGTAATTACAGGATTATGAAGGCCAGGGAGGGGTTAGTACCTAAAACCTGCCACCTTCCAGCTCATCTCTGGGTCTGGCCACCTTAGTGTCCCTAACCAGCCTTTCCTTTCTCTGGGTATCGGAACTCTGCAGCTTTACTAGGAGGGTGTATGTGTGTGGGGGTGGTGGTGGTGGTGGAGGGTGTGAAGTCACACCTGTTGCTTTTTTCTTTTGGAAGAGATGCAGAGTTTCCCCTTGCTGCAGAAGGGGAGGAAGGTGTTTGGCTGGTCTGTGTTTGATCCTGTTCTTGGGCCTTTGTCTCAAGTTTCTTATGCAATAGTCCCCCTAACTTATCTGTGGTTTCAGTTAACCGCGGTCAAACTATGGTCTGAAAATAGATGAGTGTAGTGTAGTGAGATACTTTGAGAGACTACATTCTCTCATTCATAACTTTAATTACAGTGTTTTGTTATAATTGTTCTGTTTTTAGTTTTTGTTAATTTCTTACTGTGCCTAATTTACAAGTTAAACTTTGTCATGGGTATGTATGTATATAAAAAACCATAGTATATATAGGGTTCAGTACTCTCTGCAGTTTTAGGCATCCACTGGACATTTTGGAATGTATCCCCTGAGGACAGGGGGACTACTGTAGTGGCGATACTCATGGCTCTGTTCTGTTCTCACTGGTGCCATTCTAGTCATTTCTGGCACTACCCATGCCTACATTCTTGACAAGTCTAGGTGTGCTGCTCTGTGCCTGACAGAGGAGGCTAAAGATGTCACTACATCTCAGAGGAGTATGGAGCCAGGCTTCTCCAGTTACAGAATTAAGCTTTCTCTCTCACTCCTTTTTTTTTTTGAGACCGTTTCAAGCTGTCCCCTTGGGTAGAGTACTGGGGTGTCATAGCTCACAGCAACCTCCAACTTGGGCTTACACGATCCTCTTGCCTCAGTTTTTATTTTTGGTAGAGACGGGTCTCACTTTTGCTCAGCCTGGTCTTGAACTCATGATCTTAAGTAGTCCACCTACTTTGGCCTCCCAGAGTGCTAGGATTACAGGAGTGAGCCACTGTGCCTGACCAAGCTTTTTCTTCTTTCACTCTTATCTGGGGATGGGGTGGGGAAGAGAGAGCTTTCTCTGGAATTACTATGGACAGATTGGATGGCACACTATTGGGCCTTCAAAACAAAAGCATGGCTCAGGGCTCAGTGTTTAGGGCACCAGGCACATGTACCCGGGCTGGTGGATTTGAACCCAGCCCAGGCCTGCTAAACAAACAAACAACAATAACAAGAAACGTAGCTGGGGCCAGGTGGAGTGGCTCAGTGAGGCATGCCTGTAATCCTAGCACTGGGAGGCTGAGGTAGGTAGATAGCTTGAGCTCACAAGTTCAAGACTAGCCTGTGCAAAACAGAGACTCTGTCTCTACTAAAAATACCATGTTTCCCCGAAAATAAGACACTGTCTTATATTTATTTTTTCTTAAGAAGACACACGGCTTGGCGCCTGTGGCTCAAGCGGCTAAGGCGCTAGCCACATACACCTAA